TCTGTTTGGGAGCCGACTGCAACGGATCGCCATTGGGATCCGCTCGATGCGTTCCGGCCCTGAGCGGAACCACTGGGTCTGAAGCAAAAAGGATGCTTTGCAATGCTTTTAGGTTTGGTTTTTTTTTTTTTCCTCCCCTCCCTTTTTATTTTTTGGCCAGTTTTCCTTTTTTTTTTTTTTTTTGCTCCGTTTTCCTTTTCTTTTCGCCCCATTTTCCTATTTATTTTTTTTCTTCCTCTCCATTTTCCTTTTTACTCCATTTTTAGGGGGACAGATTGGAGAAAACCCAACTATCCAACTTTAAGACTCGCATCCCACATTGCAGAAACTCTACAGCAACTTCCATCTCCATCACTGCAAATGCACACACAGGGACATACGCTAGCAATACACGCATGCAAAGGCACATACAGGAACGTATGTGGCTCTGGGCAGCCTGGTCTGCTGGTTGGCAACCCTGCACATAGCAGGGGGGTTGAAACTGGGTGATCATTGTGGTCCTTTTCAACCCAGGCCATTCTATGATATGCACATATAACATCCCCAAGAACTGCATTAACACTTCGCTCCAACTCCATTGACTTCTGCAGAGTTGAGGAAGTCGGGGCAGCAGTCACATAAAGCTCCAATGCACTTTCCCAGCCCTGCACACTCCCCGCAGTGCATCCCGTGAATGCAGCAGCAGAAAGAACACAAGGGGGGTATTGAGAGCCGCAGGAAAAGAAAAAAAAAAAAAAAAAAAGGGGAAAAAAAAAAAGCAAAAAAAGCATCCAAACAGGATCTGAGTGATGAAACAGAAATTGCCACATTTCAAAGAAATTCGGATAACCCAGCTGGCCAGACCTTGAGAAAATAACAGTTCGCCTAAGGTAGCGATGGGCTCCTTGTTGCAGAGAGCAAAGCGAGCCACGTTGTCCAAAAGAAGCCTGGAAAATCCAGACTCTACGTGACCTGACTTACTTATTGCACAGGAAACTGCATGGAAGGAGGAAGGGGGGGGGGGGGGGGGGGGGAAA